TCACCCGAGGACACTTTTTTTCCATATTTTGTTCAGATAGAGTGGGAGGAAGAGAGAGAGAGGGAGAGAAACATCGACGTGAAAGCGACACATCGAGTGGTTGCCACCCACACGACCCAACCAGGGCCGGGAACAAACTGCAACCCAGGTACGTGCCCTTAGCGGGAACCGAACCTGGGTCTCTCCAGACCGCAGGCCAACGCTCTAACCGCTGAGCCAAACTGGCCAGGGCCACATGGCCATATCTTAAAAGGTATTTCAAACATGTGTGTGTGTGTGTATATATATATATATATATATATATATATATATATATATATATATATGTGTGTGTGTGTGTGTGTGTGTGTGTGTGTGTGTGTGTATCTGATATATAATCTACTGTTAACTTTTGAGTTTAATAACATGGTAAAAGAAAATACGTCTTTCTGATGAAGAGTCTCTACATAGACTCTTAGATTTTTTTTTTTTTTATCAATTGGAGTTTCTTTACATTCATATGATTCTTGAGAAAGCTGTTTCAAGAACACAATATTTTGGTTTGAAAGGACAGTGTTCTGATGGCATTCACATTATCTGCGTTAATTGTCATCTGTTGAGGACCTTTGGCAGGGTATGCATGGTATGAAAATGCTGGTGATAGACTGGTGAGTTACAAGCACTGACTTCACAAAGCTTCATGTCCAAAGGAGAGAGATGCTTAATAGATAGTCATACACAAAAATATTAAATGATAACACGGAGCCTTGTACAGAAAGTAACTAATGGGATTCATAACTGAAAGAGCTTATTTTCATCAGCCAAGCAAAGTATTCCAGGAGGGAGTAGAATAAGTTAGTGCAAATCCTCATAATGCTACGCTATCATGAAAATAAGTTAAAAAAATAAATCTTCTCTTATTTACTGAAATTAAAAAAAAAAAACTAATTATTCATTATACAAAATAACACAGGCTGGTTATTTAAATACAACTTCAGAAAACCACCTTTTGGAAAAAATTCTTCGCATTGTCCTTTTCTATCATCTTGGATAATTTCATGGTAAAAATGTTTTAAATGTTATAATGTTCTCTGAAAATATTGGATTATTAACATATACAAATGTGTGTAAAAACATGAAATTGTGTATAAAATAATTTGTGTGTTTATGCGTACATTAGTAGATCAAATATATACTATTTTGATTTCATTAATGTGCCAAAGACAGAGAGAGAATGGACAGAGTGGTCACTAGAAAACGGACACAATCAGTTGCAGTCTTAGACCTGGCTCTATTGTGAAGTTGATCGAGTTGTTTAATTTTTCTAGTCTTTTGCACCCTCTAAAATGAAGATAAAATTGATTGCATGTTTTACCTACATAGAGAGATTTTTTTAAAGTCATATTCAAATAAGTTTTGCACTAACAGGCTCTGCATCTACTTTTGTGTTGTACAACATCGAGATGGGTCTCAGTGACGAAGAGTGGTCACTAGGTTCCAAGGGGCTTCTATTTTCATACATTGAATGAGTCAATATTTTAGAAGATTTAAAATTATATTGCAAAGCCTAAAACAGAGCTATGCATTGGTTTCTACTTGCTACTGCAATAAATTACCGCACACTTAATGGCTCCAATAATATAACATTATTATTTTACAGTCCTGAAGACTAAAGTCCAAAATGAGTTTGGGCTGAAATCAAGGCATCAGCATGGCTGCATCCCCTCCCCCCCCCCTCCCCTGCCGGAAGTTCTAGGAGTAAATAATCTGTTTCTTGCCTTTTCCATTTTCTAGAGGGTCCTTGCAATTCTTTGGCTTGTGGTTCCTCTCCCAGCTTCAAGCCAGTGAAGGAATCTGACCTCTGCTTCCTCCTCTTTCTCTGACCTTCCTGCCTCCCTCTAATAAGAACCCTTTGATCACTGCTTTGGGCCCTTCCAGATAATTTGGGTATTTTCTTTTCTCTATATTTCAACTCCATCACAGTGGGAACTATTTTATTTTTATATCAGTATATCAAGAAATATAGTTGAAAAATATCCAGAAAATTATTTAACCACTAATTGGTTACCCAGTGACCCTGCAAATTCACTACTGGATAAATAAAAACATGACTATATGCTTACAAAATTGCAACTAATTTTTATGGCAGTATTATTTACAAAAGATCTAACAGGGAAAAAAAAATTCTACCAACAGTAGAATGGATTCATTAATTGAAGTATATTCATAAAATGTAAACCTATATAGCAATAACCCAGAGACGAGGCAGGAGAGGGACCAGAGAGACGTGGAGAATGAGAACTTGGAGTCCACCGCTGACTGAAAATGAAGGAAGAGGGCCACAACACAAGGAATGCAAGTGGTCTCTGAGAGCTGAGCAGCCCCACTGAGAAGCACCCCAAGCTGATAGCCAACAAGGAAACAGGCACCGTAGTCCTACAACTGCTTGGAACTGAATTCTGGCAACAGCCTTAAACACTTGAAAGTGAAAGCAAATGTAATTCCAGAGGTTCCAGAAAGCAATGCAGCCCCGCGGACCCCTTGATTTCGCCTACGTAAGACTCTAAGCAGAGAACCGTTAAGCTACACTCTGCCTGACCTATCTGACTGTGGATAACAAGCAGTGTTGTTGAATTTTATGGTAATTTGGATTAGGAATAGGAAAACAATATACTGATTCTTCATAAGAAAAGTAGGGACATAATAAAAATGTACAATATCTGACCCATAGAGCACATCTCAATGAAATTCAACAGCTTAAATTCATACAGAAAATGTTATCTGACTAGAATGCAAATGAGTTATGCATTGGTAACAAAATATAAGAAAAGCAACTCATGTTTATAATTTAAGAGATAGAGCTCTAATCCATGGGCCAAAGAGGAAGTCACAGTTTGAATAGGTCTTTTGTGGATGTAGCTTATGCAGCAAAAAGAAGAAAATGTAAAGCTTTAAATAATTTTTTACTCAAGAAAAACTGCTACATAAGTGTGTAGCAATGAACTTTTACACAGACATTGATGAAAATACAATGGACAAGTTCTAAACAACTCAAATATCCTTCAACAGTAGACTGAATAAATGAAGTGTGGTATATCTATTACAATGGATTCCCAATACAGCAATGGTTCTCAAAATGTGATCCACGGGTCTTTGAAGGTCCTGGGACATTATTCACCTGTTTCATGGTGCTAACATTTGCTCTGTTACAAAAGGAAGTGGGTAAAACTGGTAGGGCATTAAAGAATCTCATTTAGTGACCTCACTAGTACCCACTACTCACTGAATTCTTTACTACAGCACAAAAATCCAATTATGCTTAATGAAGTTCGTGTTAAAGCCATAAAAAATTATTTAATTTAATATCCACCCACTAGTGCCCCTTTTTTCAATAATTTGTGTGAAAAAATAAAAACTATGCAAAAAATACTCCTTGTGACTGCCAAAATATGGTTGTCCCAAAGAAAAAAGTTCTATAATTGAGCTATCAACTGAACTAGCCCTTTTTTTCAAGGAACAAACTCTTTACTTAAAGAAACAACTAACATAAATTACAGTTAATTGCACTTGAGTATTTGCAATATATTTTCTTAAAAATAAAAATAAACCTGACAGTATTTGTTCTCATAACAAAGTTTGAGTTTTCATGTAAAAATTTAACTTATTGTAGTCGCTTATTTTAAAATCAAATAATAAATGCACATTTACAATTTTTCTCCTCTTCAATTTAAGTATGGTAAATATTGCTAGATATAACCCACAAAATCCCTCTGGGTGCTCAGTAATGTTTTAGAATGTAAGCAGACCTAAGACAAAGTTGAGAACTGCTGTTATATACCAATAAAAATATATGGTACATTTAGTACATTTAGTATAAATTGATTTTACACATATAATGTTGGTTAAAAAAAACAAACAAACAAGTGTATAAAAATATAATTCCACTGCATATAAATTTTACATGATAATTAAAATGAGAATAAAGCAACTCATATAAATAAAAAAACAATGTATCTTCATTAGTTTTAGGAAAATTATATTCCATGAATGCACTATTTTTAAAAATATGTTTGTATTGATTTTATAGAGAGAGAGGAAGGGAGAGATAGAAACAATGACCTGAGAGAGAAACATCCATCAGCTGCCTCCTGCACGCCCCCTACTGGGGATTGAGCCTGCGACCTGGGCATGTACCCTGATTGGAAATCAAACCTGGACCTCTCAGTCCATGGGACAAGCTCAATCCACTGAGCCACACCAGCTGGGCAAATGTACTTTTCTAAATTAAAAATTTTTCTTTTCTGATTTAGAAAATGTCAATTGTAAATTACCTTTTATATAATTGAGCTTGTAATTATATGCGATAAATCATTAGTCAAATAAGTGATAAAGTATGGGTAAAATGGCAAGTATTTGTTGTGTAAACATATGCAATATTAACCAAATAGAATCATATAAAGTAGAACTTACTGAAATTTTGGAATGTGATAAAAACAAAATCACTACTCAGTTTTAGAAATTTTAGTTTTAAGATTTTGTATCTAGATTATATCTCTTACTTCAATATTGCATTTCACTAAATACTTCCTACACTTTATGTATATTTTTAACTATCAGGAAAATAAGTGATTTGACAAAATTTCAAATGTTCAGTTGTTATCATCGGCAGTATAAAATACAGTGCACAAACACATACTCTCACAATTCATTTCCCAAAGTTTGAATTAATCAACATTTTCATATAGATGAATATGATATATGTAATAAACAGTAATGCACACACATACATAAATAATAAATTACTATGTTTATGTGTATTTACAGTAATTGCTTTTGATGAGTACGTTTCTAATCAACATGTCATAAATTCATACATATGAGTGCATATATATGTGTGTGTATATATATGTAGATGTATATAGTTATACAGAGTTTGGAGATATAAAATTACTTTAATATTCTTTGAACACCGTTAGGTGAAGTGTCTGTGACTCTAACGACTGATGCCTTCATGTTTTTAGGTTAACAGGATTCCACCTGCCACCGCCAGTGACCAGTACCAAATCTGTGTTCTCGCTACGTTTGACCAGCGATTTTGCTGTTAGTGCTCATGGGTTCAAAGTGTATTATGAAGGTAAGTGAAGGTGACACACAAGGGAAAACGCACAGTCTAATGTAGTCAAACTGAAATTCTCCAGGGTAGAAATGGAAAAATCACCCAGAAGAAAGTTACAGTTCTTCCTGTTATCTCAAATCGTGTCCCAAAATAACTTTGTTATTAATCAATAATATGCAATAGGATGCTGAAAGTAATGGACTTGAATGTTTCCTAGCAGTGTGCCTGGACATAGAACATTCCAGACCATGAAATCACTACAGGGTTAGATGTGAGAGTAACAGGAAATGATGCCTAATCAAAGATTCAGGTGCCAAGATCTCCACCCTCTTCTCCTCTGTGCTTTGCCTCTCTGCCAGAAAACAAACTAGGAACTGTCTTTTCTGTGAGTCACAGTCAAGAGAAAACGTCCACTAAGACACAGGAGTTGACATCTTCCATTGTAAACCAGCCTTTCCAGATCTGACTCCGTAACAACAAAGAGGAAGGCTGAAAAGCTCTTGATGCTAAAGGTTTTTATCTAGAAGTACAAATTCATTCGACATCAAAACATGACCTGCACTGATTAGAGAACATTTCTAGTCTTTATTTATCCCACATAATGTGGCAATTCATGTGTTCACTGCAGAAATATTGTTTGATAATGGGGCGGTGCCCCAGGCTCTGTTGAGGGTGTTAAAAATGTATAGAATCTGCACGTTTTTCTTTTTAAAATGTGAAACAATTTTAATATTCTAATGGAAAAATAATCTATTGGTGAGGCTTTCAGATAGAGGTCATGGATTTGTCATTTCTTCTGTATGTGATTTGACATTAAAATTCTCACTTAATTTAGGTAACAGCTCCTGCCTTATTCATAGCAAGAGTAGATCAGATGTCCACCTACCCCCCAGGACTACATCATACAGGATCTAATATTGTCGTAAGAGATACACAACCATAGTAGCAGGGGCTGTTACTTTCTAAACCACATGATAGTTCAAAATACGATGTTTCAAGAACATACTAGAAACAATTGCATATAAAATAGAATTGCTTTGGTATAAAGTTTAACAGTTTGCATGTGGGGAAAGTTTTACACAGAAATTTCATCCAGTGCTACCTTTCTCAGTAGAAAATAAAAATACCCTCTAGCAAACAATTGAGAACCATGTTTTGTACCTAATACATTTCTGAACTGTCTTTTCTCTGGCAAGGGAGTATGCATCCCAACACTTAATTTCCTCCACTGTGATAGTAATAATATTTATTTTTAAGGTGTTTTTACAATAGTTAAATATTTTTATCTTGGCAACTTAATCTATAGCTTAAAACACAAAGGTTTAATTTTAAGTAATATAATTTTGGCAACATTGAAGGAGTTAGTAATACAATATATTTTTTTTTATTAAGGGCTCCTTAATAGAAAACCTGTTTTTGTGCATGAACGTATAAAGATATTTTAGGTTAGCTGATTCTTTTGGTAAGTACTAAGTATACTGACAATGCAGAAACTTGGAAATGAGTTATGATATTGCTGTGTTTTCTGGCTTGACTGTCAAGTTTTAGAAAATATACCAAAACATATTTTTAAAGCTCCCCATTGTTTCTATATATGCAACATTAAATTTCTGCCTGACTTTTCTGCTTCGGTGAAATGGACTCATATATCTTCAGGACATTTAAATGTATGTGTGGGAGTTCCTGATTTAAAGATAAGGTACCGGGCATCCAGGTAGTGTTGAGGGATTGGCTGTCATGCTGTAGAAATCTCCAGGTATTGATTTGTGATGGGTGTGTTTTACTATGTGATTAGTTTTACATTGCTACCATAACGAATGACCACACATTTAGCAGTTTAAAAAAAAAGAAAAATAGGAACTCACATTTTGTAGATGAGCAGTCCTGCGTGATCTCTGCTCGTTGCTCTGCTCAGAGTCTCAAAAGGCTGAAAGAAAAATGTCGGCTGGTTGGGCTCTTATCAGAAAACTCTAGAAAGTATCTACTGCTCATAGCTCCCAGAGGCCTCTCTCTTCCTTGTACTGTCTTCCTTGGGCCTCCATCTGAGAGCTAACAACCGGAGCATTGAGTCTCTCTCATACTGGGAACCTCTCTGCCTTCCTCTTCTTATACATCTCCCTCCTCTCTTCTTCCTGACCCACATACCGGACGTTAGCTGGAGATGTTTCATAGCTTTCAAGGGTCTATGTGATCACATGGGGCCCGCCTAATAATCAAGGCTATTCTTGCTTTATTACGCTGCAAAATCCTTTTGCCCCGTAGCACGACATATTCACAGATTCCAGAGATCTTTCTTGGGGGTGTGGCGCGATGGGCTTTATTTTTCCTATCACACCAGGCACAACACTATGTAACACTTTACGGAGTGGGTAGCTGCAAGCATTAGTTATTTCACTATGGCCAATGATATTATAGAAGTCAATGGGAATATTGATTGTGAAGTCCAGAAAACTTAATTTGAAGTTTCCAAGCCTGTTCTTTAAACTCCACCCTCACCTCGCCACAGTTTGCATCCAGATTACTATCTACAGTCACCTCAAAATACAACTCTGTACCCAAACCATGCCACAGTACATGAACCCTCTCATCTGGACATGCTATTTTTTTTTTTTTTACAAGATGATTTTAAGTTCTGAATCTCATTCATTTTCATTTCATCTCCTTCTACATAATCATGTACTATTCTCTTCATTTAAAACAAAAACTTTCCTAGGACTTTGTCCTTGTGGATTAGAATTTAGGAGAATTCTACTTATTAGTGATATTTGTGCACTTATGTGTGTTCCCAAACTGCCAACTCCAGACCACAAGCCTCAGAATCAGATGGAGCATGCGTTAAAATATGGAGTCCTTACCCCCAATTATAGACCCTGAATTCTATCGAGGTCCTAAAATATGCACTATAATTCTAATTTCAGATCCAACGTAGAATAAATAATTGATAAACGTCTGTCTGTGATCTTCACAAACTTTACAAGCTTCTATTACTCTAGTTCAGTCCACTTTGCAGGGTGATGTCCCTGTTTCATGAACTTTAATCGATGTAAGAGCTCTTAACCACTTACTGAAAACACTTTTCTTTTAAACCTTTTTAAGACAAAGCTGTAAATTGTTAAATTTTTGTGGGAAATGTTCCACATTAATACCTAGCTGTATAAATTTTTATTTATTCCCATTAAATCATACACTTTGATTTCTTGTCACTACCTTCTAAATTTTGTTCCACAGAACTTTGGTTTCACGTTTGTTAGTGTTAATAAAAACAAGTGAGGAATTACTATTTCGTGAAACAATAAAATTGAGAAGCACTAATGCATACTAAATTAATAGCCATATAAATATTTTCCCAAATTTGTCAGGCTAAAGCTGGTAAGGTCTGTGTTCTATGAAGCACATGGTGGGAAATGCTCTTATATCTTTCTAGATCTGCTCAACAGAATTCAGCATATATTCTAGTTCTACTAAGTTATTTTGTGTCATGGGATCCTTTTATGTTTTACTTTCAAAAATGCATAATCATTCTTCTTGGTGAAAGATTATATGGTTCTATACCATGCGATATCTTACCATTTTAGAATCATTTATGTGGAAACAAAGTAATATAGTCCACACATATAGATTAGATACCTATAATATGTAGTTATTGATATTAGTATATCTATATATCTATATCTATATATATAATACACAGTGGTTACTTTAACATTTGGGAAATCTCAATGAATAATATCAGCATATATCAGTGAGCCAATTCATTTATCAGAAAGAGATATAAAAATAAGAATATAGTCTTGAAAACTACTTCAAACACAAGGTAGATTTTATGTCATAATGATGGTTGATATATATGATTAATTAAGAAATTATATGGATAAAAAGCTTACTTTAAGGAAATATGCTGTAAAATCATTTCACATTTTATTTCAGAAATATAAAAATGTTGCTAATAATACTGTTACTATTAGGTATCATTTATTGAATGATTTCTTTTTAGCTAATTACAGTGCTAAACATTTTATATAGATTTTTCTCACAATAAAATTTAAATAAAAATTGTAATGAGCAGGAATTACAAAGCACTAACCTTAATGTAAAAATATGTTTAAATGGCCCTGGCCGGTTTGGCTCAGCGGTTAGAGCATCCACCTGCGGTCCGGAGAGGCCCGGGTTCGGTTCCCGCTAAGGGCATGTACCTCGGTTGCAGTTTGTCCCCGGCCCTGGTTGGTCGTGCGGGTGGCAGCCACTCGATGTGTCCCTTTCACATCAATGTTTCCCTCTCTCTCTCTTCCTCTCTCTCCCTCCACTCTGTCTGTACAAAAAATGGAAAAATGTCCTCGGATGAGGATTAAAAAAAAAAAAAAATATGTTTAAATGCCCTACTGATGTAAACTGTATACATTTTGGATACTTATTTTATATTTAACTATGACATAACTCCATTTATTGTCAAATGCATATGACCACATAGAATTTAGTACAAAAGAGCATTATAAAAATAAGAATTACTGAAAATGTTATGTATTGAATCATTATGTAATATAAAAGCTGAAATATATTTTTATATTATGTGACCTATATCTTATTTGTCCTTTTTAAGTACTTGACATACAAAATAATATTATAGTATTTACTATTCTATTCAGCTTCTTGTCACACAAGTTTATAAAATGTTTATCCTTGAAAACACCAAGAGACTTTAGTGATTTTTAATTTTAGGGTTAGTTTCAATTCCTAAGCTTTAAAAATTTGAACTGCAGTACATGAAATTTAATGGAGAGCTAACAATTTAGAATCAAGTCAATTATGCTTCTCGCAAGATAGTTAAATTGTGGCAAGAGAAATTTAAAATAAAATTACATACATGGTTTGCTGGCAATAAAGGCGGTTAGATTCATAAAAGAAGTAAATGAATCTTCACCTTAAATACTTTTAAGAATAAATGAGACATATCATTAAACATACACATACACAATGCAAGATGTCATACATGCAAACACATTCTTTGCTTCTTGATTCAA